CAGCATCTTTTCAAATACCATGTCTACTTGGACAAGGGAAACAAAAGAAAAAATAAACAAATGGCACTACATCAGACTAAAGAGCTTCTGCAAGGCAAAGGAAACCATGAACAAAACGAAAAGACAACCCAGCAACCGGGAGAAAATATTTGCAAATCATATATCCGACAAGAGGTTAACTTACAAAATATACGAAGAATTCATACATCTCAACAACAAAAAAACAAACAACCTGATCAAAAAATGGGCAGAGGATATGAATAGACATTTTCCCAAAGATATACAGATGGCCAACATTCACGTTAAAAAATGTTCAACATCACTAATTATTAGGGAAATGCAAATCAAAACTACAATGAGATATCACTTCACACCTGTCAGAATTGCTATAATTACCACAGCAAAAAATAGCAAGTGATGGAGAGGATGTGGAGGAAAGGGAACACTCATACACTGCTGGTGGGAATGTAAACTGGTGCAGTCACTATGGAAAGCTGTATCGAGATTTCTCAAAAAATTACAAATAGGAATACCAAATGACCCAAGTATCCCATCACTGGATATTTACCCAAAGAACTGGAAATTAACAATTCAAAGAGACTTATGCACCCCTATGTTCACTGCAGCATTATTCACAACAACCAAGACGTGGAAGCAACCCAAGTGCCCATCAACTGATGACTGGATAAAGAAGATGTGGTATATATATATACAATGGAATACTACTCAGCCATAAAAAAAGACAAAATAGTCCCATTTGCAGCAACATGGATGGACCTTAAGGATATGATGTTAAGCGAAATTAGCCAGACAGAGAAAGACAAACACCACATGATTTCACTCGTATATGGAAGATAAACACATGGCTAAAGAGAACAGGTTAGTGGTTACCAGAGGGGAAGGAGGTGGGAGGGTGGGCAAAAGAGGTGAAGGGGCATACATGTATGGTGATGGATAAAAACCAGACTATTGGTGGCGAGTATGATGCAGTCTATACAGAATCTGATAAATAATAATCTACACCTGAAATTACACAGTTATAAACCATTGTGACCTCAAAGTTTAAAAAGTTCAAAAGAAATTAAAGGTTAGAATAAATTTGATATCTTGGGGGCAAAGTTCTATCATGTCAAGTACAAGTCATTCATGGAGAGGTGGGCTGAAAAATATTTCGTCCCAACAATCTCAATCTTATAAAGCACAAAGAAATCAGACGAGAGGGAGAATGTCTCATTTGTTTTTGAATTGTGTGGACTGTGACCATTGTTATGTTTCCTACAAGAAACGAGAAGCTTCCTGAGATACTGTCAAGTTCTTCATGGGCTTTGCTTTCTAGGATGGTCCTAAAAGTTAAATACAAATTTTCTAGAATGTAAACTTTAATCTCAAAGCATGTAAAACAGTGAATTGTTTATTTAATCTGTAGAATACACTTGTTTTAGGGACTGGAATTTGCTCACTTAAATTATAAATTAAATTTTAATCTGATTCATCATTATATAAACTATGAGGAATTATTTTTTCATTAGAGAAAATTATTCGGGCCCCTGGGTCTAGTTTTTCTCTATGCCAATTTTGCAATGCATAATAAAAATAAGAAAGTCCCGTAGCGTACTCAAACCCAAAGACAATGTGAAGTCTAGTATCTCCAAAAATATATTATTCTTTTTTCAACCACACACTGTTATCACGGATCCAGGTTTCTAAAAAACACTGCTGAAGGGCCAGTCTTCATGGTCTCTGGATAGAAACTTCTTTCAAAACCGTACACATTGCACTTATTTTTAAACTTTTTGAATGTAAAAAATAACACAAATTTCCTCTACTTTGCCATGATCTGAATTTCCCAAATGTTGGGAACAATTTGAAGCTGCTCCTCTATAACGTTTTCCATTTCAGTAATATTTTCCCCTTTCCTCTTAAGGAGGAGATTAAGGGTGTTTTCCATTTCATGACTTGGCTGCTAATAACAGCGCATTTAAAAATGGGCACCAGAGAAAGGTCGCAGGGCCGAGGGGTAGGAGACACCCAAGAGCAGGTCCGCATTCACTGTCGAATCACATTGTCGTGTCTACAGAATGAAATCATTGCTTTCCAAGAAGGATGGCCAGGTGACAGCCCAATTTTTCGGCGCACAGGTTAAAGGAGACCCTGAGAGCTGGTCTTGGAAACCGGCCCGAGGCAGGACTGATTCTGCGGAAGCTTAGGTAGATGTGTGGCAAGGCTCCCCTGTGCTTCAGCGACCACCTGAGATCCCAGCAGCCCCAGGCTGGTGGGCAGGCTTCTTGCTGTGCATTTACATCCATCAGACGAGCCGCCACACTTACACAAATGATAGGCTATTCAACTGGAAGTGGCCTTAGGGAAATTTTTTTTAAAAAAAACAGCTGCGTTCCTAACTTCTCAGCTCTTTAGTAGAGAGGAAGGGCTGGGCCTCATCATTCTCTCCTGGAATTAGTAGATTTTGAGGATGTCTTGATATATTTCTTAGATTCAAGACTAGGAATGATAATACTATTAGCTGCAATTTATTGGGCCCTTCCTACATGCTACACGTTTTCCGCTTATTTTCTCAGTGAATCCCTCAGTAACCCAATGGGTTTTACCAGGAGGTAAAGTTACACAGCTGGTAAATGGCACATCCGGGATGTGAACCCTCAATCTGTTGCCTCCTAAGCCATAGCCTTGACCATGACCTGTGGCACTTGCCAGATTTTAAGCCAAGCAGAAGATGAGCACATCTTCGGTGGGAGGAGGAGCATTGGCCTGGCCAGCCTTGGAAGTAAGCAGTCACCAGTTCCACAGCACATGGAGCGCCTGCCACCAGGCCTGCAACTCCACGAGCTGACATTAACTCATTTGGTTTACACAGTGCTTGCTCTAGGAAAGCTCTTTAAAAGCAGATGCCCCTGGGCAGGGTGACATCTTGGGCAGTCTGTGACCTCTGAAAAGCAGACAGCCAGCTGGGATCAGAAATGCAAAAGACTTACTGGGGAAAACCTTCAGACTGCAATGCAAGGATCGCTCCTGTGAAAGGAGAGCAGGAAGAAAGGCGAATTGATGAGAAAGCATCTCAGACTGCGGCACAACTCTGACAGCATTTCAGCTAGGCCAATGGGCAGTTCCTGAGTCAAAGCCATTACCAAAAGGAGCACCAGTGGACCACCTGGGTTCCACAGGTATTCCTCTCTGCTCTGTTATGTAAAAGTGGCCCTACCCGCTCCTGCTGATTAGGGAGGAATTATGCCCGCCAAGAGGGCACCTCATCTTGTCTGCTGGTCCCTGCACAGGAGTCTGACGTGCCCTGGGGGCAACCGTAGCTTGCAGTGCAGTGGCCCTTTCTGGGTCCCAGGGCAAGTCTGTGCCCACTTTGGGGATGAGAACCTCCACTGCAGAGCCCAGAGTTGAGGAGATGAGAAGTACAAAGGCCCGCTTGCACTCCCATCCCCACCCCGCCCCAGGTCATTGGAAGTGACAGTAAGTGGAGGCACTCCCTCTTTTACCCATTAGTTCCCAAACTCGTGTATTCTTCTACAGGGGACACAGTGCCAAGAAGAGGTGTCTGAGGGCACCTCATCCTTTCAGAAAATCGCTTCTGAGCTGAATCTTTAGCTGCGCATCCAGGAGGCTGCTCTGGTGCTCCACGAAGCAGTTGCTTCTAAATGGTGCGATTTAAGATATGATCAGTGGATTCCATGGTCCTGGGCTCACCTCCACACCTCCTTTGTGTGGAGTGGGTGCCCTGGTCAGAAGCTGAGTTGTGTGGGACTCAGTAAGCTCCTGTGTGGAGGCGCTGGCTGAGACTGCAGGCAGTAGACACGTAATATTCAAGTGCATTTATTCACTCAATAACATACTGAATGAGCACGTATCTGGTGCCATACTCTATTCTGGGTTTGGAAACACAAAGACGAACAACCAGCTCCTATCTTTGAGGATTTTTTGATCCCAGGGGAGTAAATACAGGTAAATAAACAGCTTGTGATATGGCAAGGGCTTTGAGTGGGTCTATATGGCAGCGGCACAGAGGACATCTAAAGCAGTCTGGGGAGCCAGGATGCTTGAGCTGAGTGCTATTCAAGAGTGAGGAGAGTTCAGCCAGGCGGTAAAAAGGTGGGAGAAGTATTTGTAATTGAATGAAGCAAGTGAGGCTAGGTGCCTGCAAGGAATCAAGAGGAGCTGAGGCTTCTCAGGGCGGTGGGCAGGGAACAGGTTATTAAGAGCCTTTTCTGCAGGGCTAGCAGTTAGGACTTATTTCACTGAATAAAGTTATACTTTATTCAGTGAAAAACCCCGAAAGTTATTTAAACAGAGGATTAATATAAACAGATTTGTGTTTTGGAAGATCCCTCGAGCCACAATATGGAAGATAAATTGAACATGAGCCAAGATGGTGGCAGTAACGAGGCAGGATTGATGGCACTCAGTGACTGTGGGACTGAGGGAGATGGAGGAGCCAAGCATGACTCCCAGCTCTCTAATTTGAAGAGGTGGAATAATGACGATATCATTCACTGAAATAGGAAACAGGAAGAGAAGAAGGTTCGTGATAATGGGTTCAGATTTGGACACATTGGATTTGAGATGCCTGCGGATATCCAGATGAGCAGATAGAAAAATAAATCTGGAGCTAAGGAGAGAGGTACAAACTGGAAAATAGGAATGTGGATGTCATCAATTTATTGTGACACGTTAAGTCAGAAATATGGATGGGATTTTCCTAAGAGAGCCTGTGGAACAAGAACAGGAGCCTTGGTTTGGAAGGTTGAGTAATAGCAATGTGCAGGAGATGAATAGAGGAAATGGAGCTGTGAAAAGAAATTGAGAGGGAATGACCAGAGAAAGAAAAACCAAAGTGCATTATTCTAGTAACCAAAAGAAGAGGAAGTGTCATGAGAGCTTGCCCACCAATCTCAAACACTGCAGACAAGTCGGTCGAGGCTCTTTGTGCTCCCCAATCACCTGCCAAACCTTTACTTTGTCTGATGCTGTTTGTTTACCTGCGTCTCTTTCCCAGGAGTTGACAAGTTCTTCAAGCTTAGTGCTGATCGTTTGTCTTGTATTCTCAGGATCTGAAACATGTCCATTGGCTTGGGCAACTGAGAGCTGTTTCAGTGAAGTGGTGAGGATGGAATTCTGGGTGGACTGGTTGGGGAATGCATGGATGAGGAGAAATTTAAAAAATGGTTGTCTTGATTATCCAAGCTGAGGGAGCAGAACGGAAATATAGGCAAAACAAACAAAAAGAGACAAGCCCAAAAGTTATTTTTGACTTTGAACACAGACTTCATAGAAAACCTGTATTCTTTCATAGATCCAGACAGTCCCCCCGCCCCCTAAACCTCCTCTGATGTGACCCTAATGTCTGCAGGTGAACTCTCCTAAGAGAGGAAAGAGAGAGACGGTAGACACCTCAAGAGGATGAGTCCTGCTCTGTGATTAAGTGGGAACTGACTAATAGGAAGGGGTCTAAGACAACGAAGGTTCGTGTAAGTAAAACTCTGCTGCTGTAGAGAACAGATAATCATAAGGCGTATCATCCCTATTTTCACGATAAACAGAAGGTCTGGACGTTTGTAAGCCAATAAAACACTTTCAAGCCTTGAAGACTAGTGTACTTTACGATTTTGGATGAACGCCATTCAGAAAGCATGTCCTTTAGGAAGGTGTCATTATCATAATGAATGTTTTGCATTTGGGGAAGTGGTGTACTATTTGGAATGTTCGGCCAAAGGGAAACTTTTAAAACTAGTAGTTAGTTCTAATGACTTCTGGAGAACATGAGAATTTTGGTTTCTTGAGTCTTCTTTTTTTTTTTTTTTACCCCAAAGTCAAGAAAGGATGGAGTAAGGAAAAATTGAAAACAAAAAACTAGTGAGCTGGCTTAATCATAATCAGTACAAAAGTACTTTGTCTACACATCAGTTGGTTTTTTAAAGCACTTTGATACACATTATCTGATTTGATGTATATTTATGAACAAACTGACAAGAGATTTTCACATATTGAGGTGTATGGGGTAACTATTGGGGTTCAAAACTGGTTCAGCTTGAACTAAAAAACCTGACTTATGGCCTATCAAACATACGTTGTACATCTGCTTACCCACTGAAGCAAAGAACGGCGTTCTCTTAAAATGAGAATGCAGACGTCCCCTCCTCCGCCCTATTGGTGACGCCCTATTGGTAATGCTGGATTAGTCCCTTACCTGACATCACGGTCATGTTCACCTGCTCATTTGCAACTGAATATCTCTGAAATTTTGATGAAAATGTATCCGAGGTGTGTTTAATGTATCTTCTTTGTTCTAGAAAGATATAAGAATGTACTGAAACACATGCTTCTCCGGAACACCTTCTAAGGCCTTCCCAGGTTATAATCCTCACTCTGGCTCGTAATAAACTGACCCCAATTTTGATTTATAGGTTGGTTATGGGTTATCTGCATCGACATAACAAATCATAATTAACTCAGGTTAGCTGTGATAATCCCCATGATAGAGATGAGGAAACTAAGGATCAGGTACAGCTTCATCCTTAGCAGCAGCATCCTTTGAGAAAATGCCCAAACCAGCATTCTCTTCCTGGTACGTAATGATCCTCACCCCGTCCTCCCTTCCTTTCTACTTTCTTTTTTTCCTTCCTTCCTTCCTTCCTTCTTGCCTTCCTTCCTTCCTTAGTTTCTTTCCTTCCTTTCTTCCTTCCTTCAGAAAACCATACTTAACTACTCTGCCATTGTGATATTGTAATATAATAAGAAATACTTTTGGTCTCCATCCCTGGCTCCTAAAACAGCTCCAGAGCAATCAAGGTGAAAGGAGTATCTTTTGTTATAAGACTCAAGTTTTGTTCCTCAGATTATTCTGGAGTGATAAAGGTGAAAGGAGTGCCTTTCATTATTCATAACTAGCCCCTTTCAACCATACCTGAGTTTATGTTAACGAGATGACTTTTAGAAAGCTCCTAAGGATGGAGGGCTGGTTTCCAGGGAAACCAACCATGTGATTAGAGGTTTAGAAATCTCAGTGCCCGCCCCCCCCCCGCCCCCCCCCCCAACATCCAGGGAAGGGAGAGCGGCTAGGGTTTGTGTTAATCACTGATGGCCAGTGATTTAATGAATCATGTCTATGTAATGAATCCCCATAAAAAAACCCTAACTGAAGGGATTCAGAGAACCTCTGATTTGGTGAACTCACCAAGTTGCTGGGAGAGTGGTGCACCCAGAGGGTCATGGAAGCTCACGCTTCCCCCATACCTTGCCCTGTGATGCGTGTGGGAAACCCTCCCCCTACCCCGTTTGGTGTCAGAAGTCATTGTAGTAGAGAGACAAATGGAGTTTTCTTTCTAGTGATGTACTATTCAAGGCACTGAATCTAATCAATATCTTATTGTAACCTGTGCTCCCAAGTTACTCCATCTTCAAATAGACATTCTTCCTGGACTTCCCTATACAGGCAGAGGAGAGCATGCATGGTGGTTCAGGCCACAGGCCCCAGCTCCACTTACGAGCTCTTTGACTTTGGGCCAGTAAATTAAACTTTATCTGCCTCAGTTTCCTCACTAGTAAAATAATCCCCCCCTCCGAGGGTTGTCAGGGTACTAAATGAGTTAGTATTTGTGAAGTCCCTACCTGGCATTCAATAAACATTATTTAAGTGTGTGTTTAATAAATAAATGAGCTGGGATGGCTCAGCATTCCTTTGTGAGAGAAGAATTACTCTTTCTTCCTTATTGCTCAGCAACTTGTTCACACAATTGTAACTAATCTCCAAATACATGGGAGCGAGACATTCGCTTTACTGCTTCTCTTCTTTCCACCATCTAGAAGAAATTCCATAAATGAAAGAGTTTATGAGGACAAAATACATATTACCAAACATCTCTTACAAGGGCTCGGATCCAATGCCTACTTAAGGAAGAAACAGCTGCTCATTCCTAAGGTGCACCCTTGATTCAAACCCCCAGGGGCATTCCATATCTGAAATGGGAGGTTAATGATTCCCAGAGACCACTTTTTGAGAATGTTGAACCGATTTCATCAGTTTATGCCCTTCGCGGGTAGGTGGGAAGATTTCACAGTCTGCCCCCAATTCTTTCCAAGCCCTGGAGAAGATGAATATTCGCCAGTGGTTGCTTCTACTAAGGTCGCGAGGTCACAGCATGATTTTTTTCTCTTGTCCTTACAAGGAAATCTTTAAAACTTTCTTCAGACGGGGAACCAAAAATAGTGACAAGGAGGAAGGGTTGCCAAAGATGTGTCCTTTTTTCCCCCCTTTATTTCATTTATAGTAAAATCTTAAATCTACCAGAGTGGTTTTGCACGTTCCTCTCAGTAGACACTGTTTATTTCAAGTGGTAATTCATGCTGCACTTATGCCATAGTGCTCAGGATATCTTATGTTAAATATCTACAGCGACTACTACTCCTTTCTGTTCATTTTTACTTGCCAATAATTTTTCAGAACGTTACACTCACCTCTTTCGGCCTCTGCCAGATTTCACAGGATTTCTATAGTCTCTGAGAGAGGCAGCACTGGCTAAGTCACCATGGGCTCTGGGGGCAGAAGGCATGGGTTGAAATTCTGGACCCACCACTGGCTTTGAATCTTGAGAACGTCATCTGCCCTATTCCCTTCCTCATGAACTGTGAGCGATGAGACTGCAGGCTACCTTGCCTTCCTCACACAGCTGTTGAGAAGATCAAGTTAAATAAGGATGCAGAAGCCCTCGAAAGCTCTATTTTACAGTGAGTTACATTTATGCTTTATGCATTTTTCCTACATGCATGTTTTAATTCACCATAAATAAGGTTAAAATAATTGAATCAGAAAAATGTAACTATAACAATTATAAATAATTGTTAAATTTGCAAAGTGAAAGATGCCTATTTGAATGTTAGTCAGTACCCTAGCTATTTAAATAAACAGAAATATATTTCTTACTTTTTATACATAACTATCTATCTATATATATATATATATAGGCTAGAGTACTAGACACATCAGTGCTCTAACTAGGGCCACCTGCTTCTGATTTAGCATCTCTGAAATACTAGAGCCTAGGTTTTAGAAAACAGCTTTTCTCAAGGGTGACACTTTTGTATGTTTCTTCCACTCATTTGGGTCATTGCTTTGCTTTCTGAAGTGAGTCGAATATAAAGACAGGTGCAATCAAGTTTGTGGCAGAGATTATTCGTCGCCCATCAAACACGTATCTTCTTTTCTTTCAAATGAATTTGAGCGCCGGTTTTCAGCTGAGCACACATCCTATACCCAGCTACAGGATGTCATTTCCCATTTTCCCTTATAGTTGGCTGTCACCATCTGACTAAGTTCTGGCCAATGAGATGTAAGCACTAATGTTGTGTGGAATTTCTAGAAAGTTCTGTAATAGAGAGAAGTTGCGTCCTCTCCCTTCCCTTCTTCCATCCTGCTGTTTGGAAAATGGCTGAGGCGGCTGAAATCACAGCAGTCATCCTGGATGTGAAGAAGCAGGCTAATCCTCAGGAAGGATGAGAATAAGACGAGAAGGGGTGTGAATCTCTGGTGACAATAGAGTTAACAAACAAACCCTGGACTACCTAGTTTCAGACTTAGTTCATCTGAGAAAGAATTAAACTAATATCTTGCTCAACAGTTGGGGAGTGGGAGTGGGGTGGGGGTTCTGTTATTCGCAGATGAACCTAATTTTAACTGAAATGTCGAGCCAGCTCTGATGGCCCACCGGCTGGAGTTCTGGTGCTCTGCTTCAGGCACCCCGGTTCGGTTCCCAGGCAAGGAACCACACCACTCATCTGTTAGTGGCCACGCTGCGGTGGTGGCTCATGTGGAGGAGCTGGAAGAACTTACAACTATACACAATTATGTACTGGGGCTTTGGTGGGGAGAAAGGAAGGAAAAAGGAGGAAGACTGGCCACAGATGTTGGCTTAGGGAGAATCTTCCCCTGCAAAAAAAAAAAGTCACTCAATGGCGCCTCAATTTCAAACAAGTTTGAATCCCTGACCCAAAGTAAGATACTGAGAGGCAAAATATATCACCTGACATGATTATTTGGCAATTTACTGATGATTTTGTAATAAAACCCTACAATTCCTGATTCTCAGTCTTGGGCAAGCAATATGACTTCTACACAAGTGAAAGTTCAGGCTATGTCAGCCAGCAGAGGACAGACAGAGTAGCCTTAAATCTGTCTGAAGGAACAATGAATTAAGCAGAAGGACACCTCAGAGCTGCATGTCACTTGCTCATGGAAGCTGATTTGACAGAGCAGCACCCAAACCCTTGTCACTGGTCTGACGATGATCCAGGTGGCGCGCGGAGGAAGGTGGAACGTGTAAGGACGTGGGCCTGTAATTTTATGCACAGCACTGAGGAAATCTAGCTAAACAGCTTTGCACCTGTATTTGGAAAGTGATGAGGCAATTAGACAATCCATTAATATTTATTGGGCAATGTGATATTTTTGCCCTAACAAAATAGACAGTCCCTTTGGGAAGGCACACTTAGCCATCTTGTTCTCAGAATGTGTGGGGCTGCACTGTCATCTTCATTCACTCACTCAGCAAGTATTCCTGGTGTCCCCACCGTATACCAGACTGTATAGAAAAACACTGGACCAGCTTTGTTCACGCACTTCCCCTTTCTAGGATGACATCTTTTTATTCTCCCCTCATCTGAGGCCAACGTTACTTAGAGTGCCGGAGGACCAAGAAGGCCCAGAAAGCCCAGAGGTCCAAGAAGGCATTCTTGCCCACCACAGCCCTCAACAAAGGCTCTCTGCTCTGCTCTGAGCTCCTGTGTACTTTGCATCCGAACAATCAGCTGGGCACTTAGCAAACACTACCTTGAATCTTTTTCGTATTTGCTGTACTGTAGTATGAGTGCTTTGAGTTCAGAGACCACATTGCTGGTGCTTAACGAATGCTCGTGAATGGTGTCATGCTCCTTTAGCGCTTTATAATTTCCATCAGTCAACATTAACTGGGCATCTCCTGCATGCCTTGCACCATATTAAGCACCAGTGGAAAGAAAAGATGAATAGGACTCGGACTCACGGGCCAGCTGGAGGAACAGAAGTGTGAACAACTCATTATAATTCAATGTTATACATGGTAGAAAAGAGCTCGGAGAAAGTGTTAGGGTGGAGGCTACTGATTTGTCCTTGGAAAGTTAAAACAGACTGCACAGAAGAGGCAGCGCTCCACCTGGCTCTTAAAGGAGGGGGAGAGGCCAGGTGGGTGAGGGGACACTTTCACACCCATTCCATCGATGGCTCTTCCCCACCTCTGGGGAAGTGGGCAGGGCAGTTCCTAATGCTTCACTTTACATGAAGAACTGCGAGCAGAACGTGTCAGAGCCTTGCCCAGGCGTTCTGGCTGTGAGGAGACATGAATTGGGCCGGGAACCAGGCTCTGGCTCCTAATCCAGTCCTCTTTCCGCCGGGCCTCACCGTCTCCCTAAACAACGTCGATGACTGCGAGGTCGGCCCTGCAGGGGGCCAGGTGTTTCTTATTTTCTCAGTTAAAATGAGTCAAGTAATTCCTTTAATTTATTGCATTTTCCCTTCCATTTTTCATAATTCTCTCCTTTATGAGGCCAGAGTTCTCAGCAATGCCCCTTCCAGAAATCTTCCCTAAGGAAATAATCAGAGAGGCAGACAAAGATTTATGTACAAAAACTTTCCTTGCAGAGCTATTTATAATAACAGAAAATAGGAAACAACCTAAATTTCCAACAAAAACAGACTAGTGGGCAGGCCCTAAACCTCTTGCCATATATTTTAATGACATTTAAAAAATGCTTACAATTAATTTTACCAAAAAAAAAAAAAAAGACAGAATAAAGACTCGTGATTCCAATTTTGCTGAGTATACATGCCAACATACACAGAGAAAAAGGAGAAGGGCACTCAGCGAGATCTTCACAGTGCCGTCTTGGTACTATTTGTTGGTTTTTTCTGTTTTCCACAGGGCACATTTTATCATCAAAGATGCAGAAGTCATCAAGAGGGGAATAAAATAGAGACTGGATTCCTGTATTAGAGTTCTCCAAAGAAACAGAAACAATAGAATATTGTATATGTATATAGTATGTATTGTATATATGTATGTGTATAATACATATATGTATATTTCTATGCAATATATATGGAGAGAGAGAGAGAGAGACCAACTGATTTTAAGGAACTGACTCATGCAACCGTGGAGGCTGGCAAGTCCAAACTCTGCAGGGTATGCCAGCCAGCTGGAAACCCAGGGAAGAGTTGACCTTGCAAGTCAAGTCCAAGGCACTCTACTGCCAGAATTCTCTCTTATTCAGAGGTCAATCTTTTTCTATTAAGGCCTTAAACTGATTTTTTTGAGGTCCACTCACATTAGGGAGGGTAATATACTTTACTCAAAGTCTACTGATTTAAATGTTAATCTCATCTAAAAAAAATATCTTCACAGAAACATCTAGAACAATTGACCAAAAACCTGGATACCATAGCCTAACCAATCTGACACATAAAAATAACCATCACAATTCCCTAACCACTTAAGATTTCTCGCCAGTAGGCCCAATGGTTTGAAGACAGGGCCTCTGTCCCCTCTCCGACTCCCTGTCGCTCAGCACAGGTCTGGCTCGTGGTAGATGTTCAGCAGGTGTGGGAATGAGTGTGTGGGGGAGGGACGGAGTGAACTGCTAAGAGGACAGGCAACAATACTACAAAGTTATAGACTCAGAATAGCACCCATCTACACTCAGGGTCCCTTACACTGGGACCTGGCCAGCTACGTCAGAGGAAGCCACATCACACTATCAGAGCAGGCCCTGGCCACCACGATTACCCCAAACCCTACCCTACCCACCCACCTAGACCCACTGAAAACCCACCCTGAGCCCAGAGACTACTGAGCACACACAGTCCCCACCTGTGGTGTCACCCTGCCAAGAGCAATGGTCAGGGGGAGGCAAGAGTCCTTTAGGATCACAGATGTGGACCCTCTGGGGGCTGCCTGCATAGAATCAGCAGCCTCCACTGCCTCAGTCCAGGCAGGTGGCTGTGGGAGCAGCTCCTCACTGTCAACTACAGCCAGACAGGGGCCTGTGCTGCCTCAGCCCCTGAAGAGAGCGCACAGCTTCTCCAGCCACCGTTGAGTTCTCTCCCTCTGTTCCAGGTGGCCTCTTGTCCCCTCTGGGTTTCCTGTTTTCCTGATTTGTTCAACCCTGCCTTGGGCTAGAATCTTCCCTGAAGCCACAGAGCCCCGGATTCTCTGATCTCTGCTGTTCCACTTCCCTCTGAAGCTGCAGAAGGCCAGGACTTTGCCCCATCAATTCAGAACAGCCTAGATTGGTAAAAACGTTTCAATAGCGCTAGTCACCAAAGCACAAAGGCCAGGAAATTCGGGAGGCCCATAAAGTGATTTGAAAGGAGAAACAAAGAACAGGGTTGGTTTCGTTATACTGTGGATGAATAAAAATCTATTCAGTGTGGAGATCTTCTTGTAGTCATGCGAAAAGTATAAAAAAAAAATCTACGCTGAGGACTAAGTTCTAAGATTTTACATACTTCATGGGGAAATTCAGACACAAACCCTTATCGAGAGAAGGAGACCATGATTGCACTTAGGGATGAAGCTAGAAGCCGTGGCTGGTAGACATCTGACCATGTCAGCCCCTGTCAGAGGCAGGCTTGAGGTGGCAGTGAGAGAACCAGGCATCGCCACGCAGAGTGGTGGGCCTGTTAGGTGAGCTGGTCCCTTTCTAAGCACAACAGTGTTGGCAAGGAATCTGGACGGGTGGGGGCCAGCTCTGTGTACAGCACATGAGGAGCACACCTGGTGGGCAGGTGTCCCAGAAAATCAACAGCCTGAAAAGTATGGATCGTAGATGTTGTCTGATGTGATAAC